TTGTGTCTCCCAATCCTTGACGGGTCTATATCCTCAGTTTGTCTCTCCTTTCACAGTTTTCTTAGTGTTTTGTCTCTTAGAGCTTGTCTCATCTAGAATAAACTTAATATTCATTTTCGATATTTATCAACTTTCAAATAATCTCTTACAAGTTCTCCATATCAGAAAATAAACATGTTTAAATTCTTCAGATGAATATTAATGGATTTGTTGACTTTAGTAGCCTACCTCTATGTTACACGTGTCTTAAATCATTACAGCAAATTGCTGTTAAGAAGCAAATTTTGTCATAATTTATTATTACTAGTTGAAATTACTGTAATTGTGATAATTTTGCTGTTAGTATTACGTCATATAGTTCGTCATTCGTAAATTATTTTAAGCCTCTCTTGCAGCTAAATTATAACTGAGATACATATATTGTTTTTCTAGTTAGCCGAAGGGCAAAAATAATATTTTTCACTTACTGGAAATTCTGTTTTAGTGAACACTACTAATGTTACCTTGTAGACTGCCACGAGTCTATATCTCTATATTGTATGATGTATTTTTATTGTCATCATATGTCGCTAGTCTGTATCTCTATGTTATTTTAAACGATTGAGATAACCGACACGAAGATGAAGAAGAGACAAATTCAATACTTGGGTACACTGAGTGTGAGAATGTTACTGGTTAGCGAAACTTTTCCAGAATAAAGTTACCCAAGTGTTGTACAAGTGTCTTTTATTCATCTGCTTGTCGGCTTTCTATGATACTTCTAATAATTCCTGTCTGACACAGCAACACCTTCCCTCCCCTCTACACTGGTCCTAGGAACAGTGCTATTTTTGGTAAATGTGAATGACATGGATGGAAGGGATAGACTCAGAGGTGTCCCAGTTCGCAGATGATGTGAAGCTAATGAGGAGAATTAAATCAGATGAGGATCAGGCAGGACTTCAAAGTGACCTGGACAGGCTGGACACGTCGTCCAGCAACTGGCTTCTCGAATTTAATCCCGCCAAATGCAAAGTCATGAAGATCGGAGAAGGGCAAAGGAAGGCCGCAGATAGAGTATAGGCTAGGTGGCCAACGACTGCAAACCTTGCTCAAGGAGAAAGATCTTGGGGTGAATATAACACCGAACACGTCTCCGGAAGCACACATCAACCAGATAACTGCTGTAGCATATGGGCACCTGGCAAACCTGAGATTAGCATTCCGATACCTAAGCAAGGTATCTTTCAAGACACTGTACACCGTGTACGTCAGGCCCATACTGGAGTATGCAGCACCAGTTTGGAACTCACACTTGATCAAGCACGTCAAGAAATTAGAGAAAGTGCAAAGGTTTGCGACAAGGTTAGTTCCAGAGCTAAGGGAAATGTCCTATGAAGAAAGATTGAGGGAAATCGGCCTGACGACACTGGAGGACAGGAGGGATAGGGGAGACATGATAACGACATACAAAATACTGCATGGAATAGACAGGGTGGACAGAGACAAGATGTTCCAGAGAGGGGACACAGAAACAAGGGATCACTCTTGGAAGTTGAAGACTCAGATGAGCCACAGGGATGTTAGGAAGGATTTCTTCAGTCACAGAGTGGTCAGGAAGTGGAACAGTCTGGCGAGCGGAGTAGCGGAGGCAGGAACCATACATAGATTTAAGACGAGGTATGATAAGCTCATAGAGCAGGGAGAGAGAGGACCTAGTAGTATTCAGTGAAGAGGCGGGGCCAGCAGCTGAGTCTCGACCCCTGCAACTACAATTAGGTGAGTATACTTTATAACCTATAGTGACATAAACTATTTGAGACACAAACAGGTACATGACAACACAGTGCAAAACTGAAGATTGATGTGAGTCATAGTGTTATCAGGAAATATTTCTTTATTCCTAAGATGGTCAGGAAGTGGAATGACTTGGACAAAGAAGTAATATAGGTAGGCTCTATGTACGCCTTTCAAAAGAGGTATGACGGGAACACGGGGATATGAGGAAGTAATCCCGAGAACGGATAGGTAAGAAGCAGAACCAGGAGCTGAAAGTGCTCGCTTCAGTCTCAAATAAATGAGTAAGAATAGGCGAGTTCCTACATACACACTGATGTTCTATTTTACATTAGTCGGCGCACAAAAGAAGGGATGCGAGTTTGAATTCCGGGCAGAACCAAACTTATAGGCAAGACTTCTTACACATACTGTCTCGGTTTTCACTTAGCAGAACGCAGATTCTTTGGTGTTTGTCGACTGTTACGGTGTGGAGAATTTTTCTCCAAACCCCAGCGAGTGACGCAAAATGGGGAAAGTGACGCCCCCTGATGACAGTGACACCCTCTGGGGAAAGTGACGCCCCTGTAAAGATGGATATGACCTCTCTTGCTCATTCCGACATCTGGAGATGAAAACTGAGTATACGTTAAACAACAGTTCAGCTTCACGTGTCCATTACAAAACAAGATTGCAAATTGATCACAGATCAGATACGTATGCTACTGCGGCATCACAAGACTACTTCTCTCCTTACAAGAGTTCTCAACTGTACACTCGTGTGTTTTTCTGAGGGAACTGCTGTTTCCTCAGACCATTAAAATTTCGAGGTAATTTGCCTCAAACTTGATAATATAATTAGAAGCATTATTCCCTGTAGCCCTCATCTAAAACTCAAGACAATAGTAATCCATGATCGTGTTCAGTAACAAATACTGGCACCCAACGTCTGTAGATTATATATGTCAGCAGAACATCATTTGAAAAAAGGATGCAAAGGCTGGTAGGGCAGATTGCAATTAGTTCTCGGCGGGGTAATATGTGACAAACCGGTGGTACTGGGCATTCGTGCCACCTTGCGATAAAACGTAGAAAAATTTTGTGACCGGTTTCGAGTGCGTTTCCCGTGGTGTGCACTGACAATATCCAGGAAGAATATAGGAAGAGATAACTAACTCTCCTCTGTGCACAAATGCCAGACATCCTTCCTGTCGTGAACTGTTACAGACTAATAAGAGTAATAGCCATCAGGCGGCGCCCAGCAGACGGCAGAAGTGAGGCTTCCAGCATTTTCTCGCCTCTTCAATCAAGTCAACGATTTCGGCGTTATTAATCCGTACGCTACAAACACCCCTGGCGTGTCTTCATCAGGCCTCTCATTCAGCTGCAGCAGAAGGGTTTAGGGGGTGTTTTGATAGGACATACCAAATCAACGCCATGATCAGCGGGCGATTGCCCATAACCAGGCAATAGTTCAGCCACAACCTTGAATGTGTCAAACATGAAACAGTGGCATATGTAGTCTTTAGGCATATATTAATCCTATGTACACACCTGTCACACAGCCCTGGTGGGTTCTTAGATGGCGAGTTACGAAGGTAGAACCCTCGGGGGAGGCTGCGAGTGGTTCCGAGCAGTCAGCGTGAAAAGATGAGTACAGTCCCTTTGTGGTTCATTGTATTTAAATTTTTATGTACTCAACCTACAAAAATCCCACACATATGCGTCACAGTCTAGGAAATGTTGCATACCTAGAAGTGGTTTCTGAAATAACAGTGAAGACTACTACAATGTAGGCTTTGTAGAAGTAGTCTTCACTGTTAACAAAGCAAAACAATGAAAGACGTATTCTTGAGAACGCAGCACCACTGTGGAACTCTTACCTAACCAAGCAAGTAATGCTAGAAACAGTTCAGAGATTGGCTACCAGACTGGCAGTACAGCGCAGGAAAAAAAAATATGAGTAGAGACGAGACTGCGTACTTGGAGAGACATTATTTCAATATACAAAACACTTCGACGTTCAGAAAGGGTACACACACACACACACACACACACACACACACACATGATAACGACATACAAGAGGAATTGACAAGGTGGACAAAGACAGGATGTTCCAGAGATGGGACACAGTAACAAGGGGACACAGTTGGAAGTTGAAGACACAGATGAATCACAGGGATGTTAGGAAGTATTTCTTCAGCCACAGAGTAGTCAGTAAGTGGAATAGTTTGGGAAGCGATGTAGTGGAGGCAGGATCCATACATAGCTTTAAGCAGAGGTATGATAAAGCTCACGGTTCAGGGAGAGTGACCTAGTAGCGATCAGTGAAGAGGCGGGGCCAGGAGCTCGGACTCGACCCCCGCAACCTCAACTAGGTGAGTACTAGGTGAGTACACACACACACACAAACTTCACATACATGGGAATCGCCATAACTACGGGATACAGAAATACAATATCCAAATGAGACAGAGTAGGGTAAGGCTATTGCAAAAGTGGAATGAGCTATGTGCTAAGTTTATTTAAATACAGGTACACACAAATACCTAGGATAACCCAAAAAGAAGTCAGTGACTTATTTCCATAGAGACTTACTAAATGTAGGGATTTAATAGGAGATATGAAAAATAAACTACTTAAGCAGATCAAAAGAAGCGAGTTACGAAGCTGGAGATCAACCTCCGCTGATTGAGCGAGGTGGCTGGGCTGGAACACCAGACTACTGCAGGTGGCGTGGCCGGAGCCAGCTGGGGCAGAGTTAGGTGTTGATCAATCCAGAGGCTTGGCTTCCCCCCCTTCCCCCCGGCGCGGCACATGTCCCACCATGTGCACTCTCCAGATGCAACCTTCTGCTTATGAGAGAACTCGATGGAGGGGGAAAAAAGGGAGCAGAATTATGAGTGGAGAAAAATTAAAGAGGATAGAGAGGCAGATAGAGGTGAATGAGAAGAGAATTGCGCCAGTATTGCTCCCTACCAAGAGAAAGCGTGCGCGCCTACTCACACAGTTGCCAGCATGGCTACACTGGACTTCCTTGACCAGAACATCAATAATAAAAATATATATGTATATATATATTGGAAATCAACAGTACAACAGCATAATTACTTCACCATAGCATTAATAATACGCAACATGGTTGTCTCAGACGACCGAAGAGCGATAATAATGGCTGGAGATGATGGGTGTGTTGTGGTGGCTAGCATGGCAGTGGTGTGTTTATGGTGGAGTGAGAGACGGGCAGTGTAGCGCCGGGTCCTGGCGCTGTGTGCACCTCGTGGGTTGACTTGTTCAATACTACTCTCTTCCCTTCCTTGCTCACCATACCAGTTGTTACACGCTCCGTCTCGCTCGCTGTTAGCGCCATCCCTCCCTGTGTCTCCATCTCACTAGCCGCTTCATTCTATCTTTTAATCTTCATCCAGTACTTTCAGAGTACAGGCGAGGTCTCTGCCCTTGGCCTTGTCTCTCCCTCACACTCCTCTTCCATCCTTGTTGACCTCCATCAATTTCTTTTGCATTCACTCTCATACTCCCTCCTTCTCCCATACTCATTTTTTTTCTTATTATTTTCGCTCTTACCGGTCCCCCTCCACTCTTCTCTTGTTTTACCCTCCTTCACCTTGTTTTCTAACCTGCTTCACACCTTCCTTCCTTCCTTCCTAATAACCTGATTTATTCACAAACTCTCCCTTGGAGGGATATAGCTCGCCCTCGCCTCCACAATGAGAGTCTCTTGCCGAGGAGACTCTAGAGACGATGACTTAACCTTCGTCAGTGAGTGACCTGCTGCTAGCACAAGCTATGGAGGAGCATCTTGTAAGTACTTACTTTTACCTCTTTAAACACTAAGTACTAATGTGCTACAAGCTGAACCCAGAACACTGTGAGTACATACATTACTTTCAGTGTTGCACTTTACTGCTACACTTTTGACTAATACAAGGATCGACACCATGCCTAACCCTTCTAGGGTAGGGTAGGTGCCTGAGCCCGAGCCTTTAGCTCATAAGACTGTTATTCCCATTTGCCCCCTTGGGGCGGGGATGGCAGACCAGAGAGGCCTAGCTTGTGGCTAGGCCTGGGGACAGTTGGTCCCAAAGATGAGGAGGTACTTGTGCCTCCTCCCATGGGAGACTTAGGTCTCAGACACTCCCTAAAGAGGGAGCCAAGGCCGGGAGAATACCGGCTAATCTTTAATAATATTAACAAACTAATACAAGCGTACTGTGTATATATATATATATATATATATATATATATATATATATAATATATATATATATATATATATATATATATATATATATATATATAATATATATATATATATATATACACATACATACACATTCCACAAACCTTAAATCAGGGATTCTCAACTTTTCCTCCATCATTAACTCCATCGGCTTGATGTATTTCTTCATTCACCCCCTCCATACAAAAAATTGATCGCCATCATAAAGGGACAGAAAAGCAAGGTCAGACACACACACACACATTTTACAAAATTAAATGTAAATGAATTATTATTCAGTTATCAGGTACATCAAATATTTACCCCTTGCCATGTAATTTTTGACCCCCAAGGGGTAAATTTACCCCTGGTTGAGAATCACTGCCTTAAATCAATGCATCATACACATTAACACGTGATACAGATTAATATGCAATTCATATTGAAGTTCTTAAATTGATACCTTATTTATATTGATAAAAATCGATACGGCAGATTATAGTGAGTCCAGTAGGGTAAGGTTTTTCATCCTATACATCGTGAATAATAATAAGATAGTGATTTATTCAGTCCTTCAGCGGGTGATGCTCCTGATGATCATTGATCAAAAGAAGTGGAGCTAACTTTACCCCACCTCCGTCCTCGGGTCAAACCTGACTACCTCCCATTCATGTGCTATCTGATATTGATGTACTGTTTAGCAGAGCAAAGGGGAATTCTGGAAGACAGACGCAGTTGTTAGGAGCAGAGCTTGTGGATGCTGAATTTCTAGTGAATGACAGTGATGAAGAGGTGGATGTTGTACCTCTGGTGGATGACATGAAGAGGTGGAAGTTGTACCTCTGGTGGATGACACGGATGAAGAGGTGGATGTTGTACCTCTGGTGGATGACACGGATGAAGAGGTGGATGTTGTAACTCTGGTGGATGACACGGATGAAGAGGTGGATGTTGTAATTCTGGTGGATGACAGATGAAGAGGTGGATTTTGTACCTCTGGTGGATGACACGGATGAAGAGGTGGATATACCTCTGGTGGATGACACGCACGAAGAGGTGGATGTTGTATCACTAGTGGGTGACATGGATGAAGAGGTGGATATTGTACCTCTGGTGGATAACACGAATGAAAAGGTGGATGTCATCTCTGGTGGATGACACGAATGAAAAGGTGGATGTTGCACCTGTGGTGGATGACACGGATGAAAAGATGGATGTACCTCTGGTGGAGGGAACACCGATGAAGAGGTGGATTCTGTACCTTTGATGCACCTATTTGGAGTACCTACATGAAAGGAGTTTCGGGAGGTCAGTGCCCTCGCGGCCCGATCCATGACCAGGCCTCACGGTGGATCAGGGCCTGATCAACCAGTCTGTTACTGATGGCTACACGCTATCCAGCATACGAACCACAGCCCGTCCGGTCAGATATCAGTTTAGATATCTGTCCTGTTCCCTCTTAAAGACAGATAGGGGTCTTTTGGCAATTCTCATAATGTATGATGGGAGGCTGTTGAACAGCCTTGGGCCGTTGACACTACTGTGTTTTCTTTCCGTGTACTCACAGCACCCTTGTGTTTCACTGGGGAATGTTGCACCATCTGCCAAGTGTTTTACTTTCATAGGGATGATTTCTGTGTGCAGATTTGGTTCCAGTTCCTTTAGGATTTTCCAGGTGTAAATTATGATGTGCCTCTCTCATTTGCGCTTCAGAGATTACAGGTCTAGGGCCTTGAACGTTCCCAGTAATTCAGGCGCTTTACTGAACTCATAACGTGCAGTGAAGGTCCTCTGCACATTATCCATATCTGCAATTTTGCCTACCATGAAAGGGGATGTTAGTGAGCAGCAACAGCAGCATTGTAGACTAGATAGAAAAAGTGACTTAAAGAAGATCATCATTGGCTTGGCATCCCTTGATTTGAAGGCTCTCGTTATGCATCCTATCGTGTTCTTGTTGTGGTGCTGGAAGGTGAGATCTGACATTATCACTCCAAAGTCCTACGCATTAGATTTTCGCTCTGTTATGTGGTTAGAATTTGCCTTATACTCCGTTCTAACTTTTAATTCTTCGAGTTTTCCATAACGGAGCAGCTGGAATTTGTCCTCATTGAACTTTATATTGTTTTTTTTTTTTTTTTTGCGGCCGATTGGAAGACTTGGTTTATATCCCCTTAAGATTTATCGTGTCTCAGTGGATGACACACTCATGCAAATTTTATATCGTCTTCAAAGGATGACATGGTGCAATGGTTTACATATCCGTCTATGTAGGATATGAGGAAAAGGATGAGGGTGAGTACTGTACCTTGTGGATCAGAGCTTTTCATTGTGGCATGACACGGGTGAAGAGATGGATGTTGTACCACTAGTGGAGGGGACACTGATGAGGAGATGGATGTTGTACCAATGGTGGGTGATGCTCATGAAGAGGTGGATGTTGTACCTCTGGTGGGTGATTCAGATGAAGAGGTGAATGTTGTACCTGTAGTGGGTGGCATGGATGAAGACGTGGATTTACGTCTGGTGTGACACGGTGATGTAATGATGTCTGCCGAGTTATATTGATGCAGTTAAGATAGATGTAAGTCCGGCATGTCAAACTGATGTCATGACGGCATAGATACAAGTTTGGCGTATCACATTGATGCAATAATGATATGGATGTATATCTGGTGTGTCACATTGATGCAATGACTACGTTGATGTACGCCTGGCGTGTCACATTGCTGTAATGAAGTCTGGTGTGACAGCGTCATAATGAAGACTTCATTTGTGTGTGTGTTGGGGGGGGGTGTATTAACCCAGAGGGCAAGCAACCCAGAATAACCCTATACAGCCAAGCAGCGTTACTTTTTCTTTTGCAGTCTCTTCTCAGAACTTACTCCATGATGTGACCCACAACAGTCAACTAACTCCTGGGTATGCCTAAGACTGTGTGCTCGACCCCAGAAGGGGTTGTGAGATGAGGGAGCCAGCAGCCACTGAACTTCGAATAGGCATCTGGTATGACACGCAGGTGTATGACATGGAGCTATACTGAAGCCTGCGGTATCACAGTGGAGGTGGAGTTACGTGTTGTGTAACGCAGTAATGAAGACGTAGATGTACGCCATGTGTAACACAGTGAAGTAATGTAATGTAATGCATGTGATGTAATCCAGTATTTGGTGCAGTTTTAAGTGCAGTTATTGTTGTTGGAACTAATGCAGACTGCAGTGAAGGTTTTTGCTTTCATTTATTAACAGTGATAATTGTGATTAATATTATTATAACAGTAAAAATTGTGGTGATTATTATTATTATTGATTGTTATTTATGTATATCAATAGCAGTGTTAGCTGGTCATAAGAGGTAAAACATAGCGACAAGTTGCTAGGCAGGTATGAAGGCAGAAAGGGAGTTTTAGTGAGAGAACTTTCCGCTTACAGATCACGCTTTCTCAAGCTTATGTGATAAATTTTGGTTTCCAAGCTTGATCGTCAATTATTATCCTAGCTTGGTCCCCAAGCTTGGCTTCCCAAGCCTGATCCTCAAACTTGGTTCCCAAGCCTGATCTTTAAGCTTGGTTCCCAACCTGGAGTCTACCTGGAGGGCATTCCGGGGATCAACGCCCCCGCGACCCGGTCCACGACCAGGCCTCCCGGTGGATCAGGGCCTGATCAGCGAGGTTGTTACTGCTGGCCGCACGCAATCCAACGTACGAACCACAACCCGGCTGATCCGGCACCGTATTTAGGTATCTGTCCAGCTCCCTCTTGAAGACAACCAGGGGTTTTCCTGTAATGCCCCTTATTGCTGGTGGGAGGCTGTTGAACAGTCTTGTGCCCCAAACACTTATTGTGTTTACTCTTAGTGTACCAGTGACGCCCCTACTTTTCACTGGGGGTATGTTACATCGCCTGCCAAGTCTTTTGCTTTCGTATGGAGTGATTGCTGTGTGCATATTAGGGACCAGTCTCTCCAGAATCTTCCAGGTGTAGATTATGATATATCTTTCTCGCCTGCGCTCCAGTGAGTACAAGCCAAGTGCTTCCAGGAGCTCCCAGTAGTTAAGGTGTTTGATGGAACTTATACGTGCAGTAAAGGTTCTTTGTACATTCTTTAGCTCTGCAATTTCACCTGCCTTGAATGGGGATGTTAATGTACAGCAGTATTCCAGCCTAGAAAGAATAAATGATTTAAAAAGGACCATCATTGGCTTAGCATCTCTTGTGTTGAATGTTCTCATTATCCATCCTATCAGTTTCCTTGCAGGTGTGACAGTGGCATTGTTATGGTCCTTGAAAGTGAGGTCAGACATTACCACACCCAGGTACTTCACATTACTTTTCCGCTCTATTGTGTGATTAGAGTTTGTAGTATACTCAGTCCTGTGTACGAATGGTATACAATACCGACAAGATGAGAGCAAGACACATGTGCAACATCTGGGTATCTTTATTGTAGACGTTTCGCCATCCAGTGGCTTTATCAATACAAATTCCAGGACATAACTTGAAGACAGCAGAACTATGTACAGAAGATGAGGCAATCAGTCCCTCAACCTAGGAGCAGGTGCGAACAGCACCATGGTCGTGGA